ATAGGAAAGAATTTTAGCTTGCTCTAGAGGATCAGTAGATGATCCTCTCGATCCTCTAGAGTTGTTAATTATGGAATTGGTAAGAGCTTATAACTATAGGGAAGATTACAATTAAGGATAAACGGGGTTGGTAAAAATAGCAACTTAAAGTAAATTATAGATCAACATTTAAAATTATTGAAAAGAATGTTACCTCGCTCTAGAGGATCAGTAAATGATTTGAGTTGTTAATTATGGAATTGGTAAGAGTTTATAACTATAGGGAAGATTACAATTAAGGATAAACGGGGTTAGTAAAAATAACAACTTGAAGTTAATTATAGATCAACATTTAAAATTATTGAAAAGAATGTTACCTCGCTCTAGAGGATCAGTAGATGATTTGAGTTGTTAATTATGGAATTGGTAAGAGTTTATAACTATAGGGAAGATTACAATTAAGGATAAACGGGGTTGGTAAAAATAACAACTTGAAGTTAATTATAGATCAACATTCAAAATCATTGGAAAGGATCTTAGCTTGCTCTAGAAGATCAGTTGGTTATTTGAATAGTTAATTATGGAATTGGTAAGAGTTTATAATTTTATAACTGAACACAGACGAAAATAACAAAATTCTGAAGCTGGACATCGGAAATTTGCATCCTCGGAGCGAAGATAAAAGTTAAAAAATATATTTTAAAACATCAATATAAATATGTAGCTAAACCGAAGGGTTTCATAATATTTTCATAACCAGAAATAGAATTTAAAGAACTTTAAGTGTAACAACTATTGTACGAGGTTACACAGTTTAACGAATAACGAAAAGGAACGGAGATTCAGTTTTCAGTAGTTGCTACCAATCGCTCCAGTTTCGAATTACTCGAGGATCGTCGATGCCTAATCGTATCACTCCCATCGCTAACCCACGTATGTATGCAAATTCCGGGTGTTCGTTCGGGACTGTCGATTTTAGCGGCGATCGTAGCCGCGAGCCGTCCGAGAAGGACGTGGTAGCGGACGAGGAACAGAAGTGGGAAGATGGAGAGGCATACACCAGGCTGGATTAATATTTATGGTTCGTAAAATATGCGGATGGACCCGACGGTATAATTTGTTACGATTTGACCGGAGGGTCTAGGTCTAGACATAACCGAGAGAAACCCTTCTCGGTTTAATTTTCGGCTACCGAATTTGGAGCGGTGCTTCGTTATTGGTACCTGTCTAACCCCTCTTTCCACCCTCCGTCCTCTTGCCTCTTCGTTCGTTCCTCGTTCAAATCTCGGGTCCTCTGTCCTCTGTCTCTTTTTATATTTTTTAATTATTTTTTTCGTCTCCGCTCGATGATGTATCGACCATTCCGTTACACGCCCGAAAAGCGACGGGGCCCTGGGCCTGTGTCGGTGACTTCTAATTTCTATTGGCGAAACCCACGGAATCCTTTTGATTGCTAGATTTTAATAGAACGCTGGTCTACCGTGGAGGTAGATCAAGAAGGGAGAAATGAGATTAGGTCCGAGATCGATGTTCCCATCGGCGGCTTCGTTCTGGTATAATGAGGCATCGGCTTGTTTTAATTCCAGGCGTGCTTCTTATGGCTGGAATACGTACAGATTTCCGAGGGAATGGGACATGTTAATTCCATTGAATTATGTCTAGCTTGGCGATGAGAAGATTAGTGTACGGGACGTGTAGAAACAGTTTTCCAACTTCGGATGCGTATAGGAGTGTCTGAAAGAATAATGGAAGGATTGATAAGTGAGCTTCTTGGTAGTTAAATCGATGTTGTTAGTTAGAAAGTCTAGTTTTACACTTTCATGCAAGCTTTCCATGATTATCTCTATGTAATAAATCCTGTATCTTGCATACCATCTTCGGACCAACGTGCTCAAAATAACCGTGAGACATCGTTGAAAATATAATCTCCGCGAGGAACCATGAACCAAGAACCAAGAATCCATGTTTCTCTTGAATTAAACAACTTCTTCGATATGATACAAATTCTTCTGATATAGATACATCATGTAAATCATTAATGTTTATATACAAAGTGGTGACAAAAATGTGGAATTTTCTCTCGAGATCAATTCTAGGCGTAAAATGAAATCGAAAAGCTCTTTACCACTTTGCAATATTTTGCTTCGTTACCAACATATGAGATATTGAAGTTCATTAGTGTGACTCCTGGGGCGCGCCATTGTTATTCCAGTCAGCTTATCGCACAAACTTCACCTGCTCAAATCTAGATAACGAAACCTCGGATTGCAAAATGGAAAAGGACTTTTCGATTCGTAATGTCACAAAGAATTCACCTTGATAACCAAAGGTCCCCGACATTTCTGTTCCCACTCCGTATCAAATATACTATTCCATGATTTATTCGTACTTGGAAAAGTATCTCTCTAGAATATCGGTAAAATTGATTGTGCACAAAGTTTGCGACTCCACGAGGTACACAACGATTCAATATCAAAAGGTTTCACCACCTCTATGGGCTAGTACACTAATTTCGCTTTTGGAGATCCATTAAAAACCGCTACGAGCGTATATTTATCCCTCGATAACGCCGACAGCGAAATATTATAGATATTAAAAAAGTCGTCCTGCCTGGTTGCATCGAAGCCAACAGATAGTCTCGTTATCTTCGAATCTCATCCGAGTTTCACGTGCTGGACTCTGGAGATCCTTCGGTCGAATTTAGTCCCGATTCTCGGTGGAACGCGTGTAGCTACCGTGCTTGAGCGCGCGTGGGCCGAGAGACGCGTGGGCGTATTCACGGTTTGGTGGTTTCGCCCACGTTTGGCGGTTTTTCTTTCGCCGCGGTACCTCGCGAGGCTGCCGAAGTTTACGTTCGTAGAATCGTCGCTCCGTTACTGGGTAGATCCAGGACCCCATCAGTCGTGATTTATGTCCCTCGTGGTTCTGATCAGCCTCGATTGTCAAAAAGGTATTCCAGTCTGGCATTTTGAAAAAATCGATTCGTTTGGAGCAAGGATGTTTTGGGAAGGGGACTCTTTGATACTTTATGGCAGTGGTTCGTGAACTCTTTGAATAATGACCATTCCAAGAAGATAAGAAAATACTTCTATGTATGACATAGCCATTGCTTAATCACTGGTTATCAAGATTTTTATTCGTATATTTTTATATACCTATTCGTTTATATAATATAACATCTTCATTGAATTTGTTATGAAAAAAGAAAGAAGATAATACAGAGAAGAGAATATATATATATATATATATAAAACAATTGTAAAAAAATACTAATGCATAATACTATCTACAAATTAAACATTAATGAAACATAATTGTGATGTAATACGAAAGTTAAATTTTCAAACCATATTATTTTTAAAATATAATTATATTTGTAACAAAACAGATTGATATTCATCTAACAGAGAAAATTACTGCATTGAGAGGGGGATTAATAGAACGACAACAAACGTTTGTACTATCGGGTGTTATCGATTCAGCGACAGGGATAATACGAGCAATGCCTTTGTTCGATTTAGTTGATCGACGCTTCGCGTTACTTATTCTAGTCCTCAAAAGAACAATCCCATTATCAAAACAGTTCATTGTCTTGGAATCCTGTGCATCGAGAGGCGCGAATGACCGCCGGATGTGGTAGATGCTAATCCAGGCGAAATGGACATTGATGTTTCTTTGCGCTATTGTTAGCGGTGAATTAGCGAAAACAGGTGCTTAGAACTGATTTATGAGAATGTTCTTAGTGTCGACTCTATTGTGATACGCTGAACTGTTATTCGAAGTGATTGTGAAGATTTACAACTGCATGACAATCTGTGAAGAGTGAATCTGTATTATGAAACAGGTGAAGAATGGGATATACATAGTATACTATAGTGATCTTTCAAAGTATCGGTACTAGCTCAACTGATAAACGCAGAATGTTGATTTACTTTTAACCCTGTGTCCTAATTGCCTGTCACACGGCGACAAAATCGCGCGTAGGTTCTATTCTTTTCTAGAAGAGACTCTAGGATTTTGTTTTTTTATTAAATTACGTATGGTATAACTAATATTTTATTTTATTTTAGATGAAAGTACATAAGTACATATGAATACTAAAATTGAATACACTATACAGGTTATTTTTATGTAATATAAAATATGATATAAAAATGATGTAATATATAAAATAATATATATTTATAGAGATGGGTATCAGTTCGTACAAAAATTATATCATACTTTGGAGTCGATAGTTGAGATAGTAGAAATACTTGTGCGACTCACTGCAGGATTATACGACCATGAAATTCACAGCATGTAACTATGGTTCTGAGAATTCGAAGCTTTACACTCGATTTTCTTGCGAAATGTTGAGTAGCACATCCCATGCGTTTGACAGGTTATTACACTTGGCGTGTATTACCTCTACTTGAGCCAAATGGCCGACTCGAAGGCCGCGATGTCTACTTATACGTAAACGCATAGTAGCCACATTGAATTGCTAATTTAAAGATATATCGAAGTTTTTTAATTTGGAAAATTCGTAATGGCTGAACAGGTACATAAATAAAAATTCTGAAAAGATATAGCCGTGCTTCCAATTACTAGCGTCTTGTCAAACCAGTTTATTTCATTTCATATTGTAGCAACCAGGTTCGAAACAATCTTTAAATACATGACACTTTGAAATATTCAATGTAAAGAATATTACTTTATTTATTATTGGATATCATGTATCGATCATTAGAACAATCAATAGCTTCGTTTTATTATTTTTAATTGATAATTTAATACAACAAATGTATGTATTATCCTGCTACATGTATATAAGAAATATATAATATATAGATTGTTTGAAAAATATTCTTAAATTCTAATTATCATTTCTCCTTAAAATATATTCAAATTGATAATGGCTCAGTGTGGATGCAAGTATCTCAGATTTAAAACATTAGTGACTAAATGCAATAAGATGCAAGCTAATTAAAAAATGAAAGTTGAAATGAATTTTAATTATGCAATCTTGTGATTTGCAGGGCTTAGACAGCAGTGGACGGCCAGCTTTCGTCCTTTACTTTCGCGTTCGTTACTACGTCGACACACCGTTGCTATTAAGGTAAGTGGTTATAGGGATTAATTATCCATTAAAGAAGCCATACTATTTTGTCATAAGAATATGAATACTTCAGATCTTTATGTGGTATTTTTGTAGAAAAAAATGTTTACCTTCGCATATTCTTTAAGCACTATCTGTATGGAACACACATTTCAGAACTTTCGTAATTAAAGTTCCATAAACCGTATGTTTATTATATTAATTTATATCATAAATGCATACAATTCCCACTCTAGTCGTTATTACCTACGGTAAATAATTTCCTGCGAAGCTCCGAAACATTTCTCAGCCTCCCCCATAAAAATCTACTTTTCCCAATTGCGTCCCTTTTAAAACCCACTCGCAATATCTTTCGACGTACTCGAAAAATCAAAGGGACCAATTATTCCAACCAAATTTTCCCCATTCCCGTCGATATCGACCCCTCGATGGACCCTTCCCGCCGGAAGCTGGAGAGCAGAAGAAGTCCCGGCGGAATCAGCGATGGAATCGTAAGCGCGAATAAAAACTCCGGTAGTCGGATCGACCCCACCGGCTGACAAATTATTCACTCGAAAGAGGCTGGCCTCTCGCAGGAAGCTAAATTAGTCGAGGACGCTCCGGCCATCGGACGGGCCTCCAAATGGATTGCAGAATTAATCGGAGTAATTAGCGTTCCGCTTCAAATACTCCCCTGTGCCACCGTGCCCAACCGCCGAACCCTCCATAGGCCTATCTCCTCTCGAACCCCACCCCGCCCCTCTTTTGTCCCTTTTTTCCTAGCCGCGGTGTATCGCGATTATAAGGGTTCCCGGGTTGCCCCGAGGACCCAGAAGGAGAGACAGTCGAGGAAAGGAAAGGGGAACCGTGCAGCGAGAGTGAAACGAGAGAGTTTGACGGTGTCCCAGCCGGTGCAATTTTTGTGGGTGCGAGGAAGATAGGCGAACGTTTTAGACGCGTGTAACGAGGATAGAGAAACACGGAGTGACTCTGGGGGGCGAGGAACGAACAGAGGGGTGGCTGGATCTCCCTGGATCTTCTTCACGAAACGAAATCTCGACTCCCGTCCCGGTAGCTAAGTGCTACCTACTCTTGTAATTATAAATTATTACGTGACGCGTGATAGATAGATCGTGCGCATTAAATGAAAGCACTAGTCCCGGTAATTATACTGATACACAGTTGCTTTCTGATTTCCTACCGAAACCCGTAATTTACATCGGGGTCCCGCCTCATTCGCCGCACGTCCACGTCGACGAGGGTTTAATTCGTGAAAGGACTCAAGGCTGACCGGGCCCACCGCATACCCCGAATCGAGATTCCCTCGGTTCGGTTCATTTTCCTGTTTCCGTCCTCGCCGCGTTTCATTGTCTCTTTTGATCGCCAATCGTGCGTTTCTATCTCTTTTTTTCTGCTTCGCGTATATGAATTTATCGAAGCGTCCTTTAGCGAAGAGAAGAATTAAATTCTCTTCCTATTTCGTAAACATGAAAAATTGCACCTTGCAAATTTTTATCTAGAAACATTTAATAGGGATCAATTCCAAACCTTTTGTGTACGTTAGCTATACTTTCACCTACACATGAGAATTTTCTGATGAAGAAATATTGATTAGACACTAAATTATTGCTGAATAATTAACTGAGGATTTGTAGGATACTCCGGCATCTGTTGTAGTCACTTTGCGAATTTTTATCCAGAAATATTGAAAAGCGATCAATTCCAAACTTTTTGTGTACATTTGTCATACTTTCACCTACATATGGGAATTTTCTGACGAAGAAATATTGACTAAGCACTAAATTATTGTTCAATAATCAACTGAGGATTTGTAGGATACTCCAGCATCTTTTGTAGCCACTTCGCGAATTTTTATCCAGATATATCGAAAAACGATTAATTCCAAACTTTGTATATATATTTGCCATACTTTCACCTACACATGAGAATTTTCTGATAAAAGAATATTGACTAGGCACTAAATTATTGTTCAAAAATTAACTCAGAATTTGCAGGATACTCCAGTATTCTTTGTAATTAGTCAGTGAAGCAGGTAGTATGTTGATCACAGAAAACCCGATTAAATAAAGTAGAGAACAGGACCGGGGCCCCAGTATTTCCTCCATTGGCATTCACTTTCGCAATCTCAGCATGTTGTTTCTCTGATTTATAGAGTTGGATTCCATTGCTATGCGTGGTGTGTGCAAACCATATCCAACGCGCGACTCTGCGATACCCACGTGGCTTAAACAGGTAGAAGTATGTCGTTTATCATCACACGAAGTTGCGCGACGATATTTCTTGCGTCGTTCGTTGCTACCAGATATGCCAGGTTCTGTAAAAGTGTTTCTATTTGTGTTTCTTGCGCGTTTCCACACTACTTAGGATGCCATGCTAGCAGAATTTCCTTAGCGTCTCCGTGCGTTATGTCGTTTTACTCACTTTCAAGATTAATGCCGAAGATGATTCCAAGTATGTAGGCAATTGTTTACCGCGAATGATACAGATGTGCATATCGAAGCAAATCGCTTCATAATTTGCTAAGGTGGAACTTTGCGCGTTGTGTTGCAGTGGTTATCTCGTGTTAATGTAGTGTACCATTAATCAACAGGAATCAGATAGGAGTAGGTAACTATGTAGAGTTAACAAGTAAAATAAGTATGCGATAAATACGTGGGACGAATGAAAAGCGATGCACTTTATAGTTTCTACTAAAATCGTAGTATTTCGATCGATTGCGGTAATGCGACATTTTATTTGTAATTTTGTTCGGTTTATTCGCATTTCTTAATTCTGTTTGTTATCGTTGCAGTTGTAAACTTAAGAACATGACACAGTTCAGTGAGGTTCAGAAATTAATTCTATGTCTATATATTTAAATAATTTTTCATAACTCTATTTTATATAGAAATATTTACTGGTCATTTTGTTATGTTAGAGTACCAACCTTATCGTAATCGGTCAAACAAATTACTTCGACATTTTACTACTTCTTTACGTGCTATTTTAGAATGTGTGACTAAGGGAACATTAAACTTTATACAATTTTTCTTTTTAAATGAACGGTAATGTTTATCTTAAAAACACACAGAATTAATTTCTACACCTAATAATGAAACGATTGATTCAATAACTATATGTGCTTTCCTGTGACTGAGAAAAAATTAAAAATTGTACGATTTTTCTTTATAAATGAATGGTAAGCTTACCGTAGAAAGGCATAGAATTCATTTCTACATCTAATATACAGATAAGATCATTTTTGAAGTCTGCAATAAATTTTAAATGTTAAATTGGACAGATTCATTCGTATCTTCTGAATTACAGTATTAAACGAATCGAACAATCCCTGATATGGTAACAGAGACAGAACTCAAAGACCATAGTGATTGCTCAAGCCTAATTCCAATGTGTATCAGATCCTCGTCACTGGTTTTTATTCATCGCCACGTGTCACCTTGAACATTATGTCACGCGTCGATAGATTCGTCTTGGTAGCCACTTTCACGCGATATAAACAAACCTATAGCTTTCCAATGCAAACTATTAAGGTCAGCCTCGTAGTTTGGAATTGATTGCAACCGTTTGAAAATTGACAAAAGTCGTCGAACTCTTGGAAGGTAATGAAATCTTTCCCCATCTCTAGTTTGATTAATGAAACTGTTTGTTGAGAAGAGAAACGCTGGACGTTAATAACGCGAACATAATGCATGCGCGCCATAATCTGGTATAGAGTAGTGATTATTGGCAATGACAGTTAACATACGATTTGAATGATTATACTGGGAGTTATTTCAGCTGTAGCTCGATCCTTCACTTCTGCGTTGAATTGTGACTTTTAAGAGGACGACTGTTAACGTGCAAGACAATATACAGGGTGTCTAACTGGACTCACGGAGGCAAACATCTTCGCTGTTTAAAATAATAAAAATGTTTGCTGAGTAAATACAAGGATTGCATTGGTTCCAGGAGGACCTAATATGGTGACAGCAGTTCTTTTATTAAACGAAGGTGTAGAAGACATTCGGAGGTTAACTTCACGAAGTAACAAGTTTCTCGTGATACAGGTTTCATTGGTATAATTTATTCGTGAACAGGAATATCACATCGAGTACGATTATAAGTAATAATAAATTCAATAAACTGCTCTTATAAATTATAATAAATTTAATTAATCGGTCATGTGAATTATAAAAACGTGGTGATTAAGATGCAAGAGTTTTAAAACTAATAGTAGGTATTCGCTTAGTTACTCTTTCAAGATTATTATATCAAGAATTTCTGTAGAAATGTGATTCACTGTTCTCAACGATTTCACTATTAAGTCACCGTTGAACCTTTTCGTTCAGATTATCGCTTTTGGAATGCGTCGATTCCACATGATGAAACACTCTTGAGCAATTCATCCTCTGAGAACCTCCCCATTGCGTTTGTAAATACGTCATGATATTCCTACACTTTCTACTATTAGGTATGATCCAGGATCACGTGTTACCACTTCAGAAGTCCTACTTCATATGCAAAGTGGTTTAGAAGTACCTAAATCGATGCATTATTTTAATCTCTTTTTCTGCTAAACGTCGATGAAACAGTAGACTCACATCTACAATGCCTTACAAGATAATTTTGTGCTGGTGAACAATACAGTTCGATCATAATTGTATTGCTACTTCTCTAAGTATAACAGCTGTTGTGGTTATTTAATCATTTAACAACAAATTCTGTTATTTATTTGATATCTTCTTGTAAAGGTTAATCAACATATTGAGTATACTTTTATTCATTTGTTTTGTGTACAATTCATAATGGACAATTCATATTATATACACATATCACAGCAAAATCATCTTCCCCATCATTGTTTAAATAATAATTATTGTTAATAACTAATGTAACTATCGTCAGAAATTAATATTTAGTTGGTGCACTCAATAGATATTAAAATATTGACTTTCTCACGATTAATCTCTCGAATGAATACTTATTCTGAATCGTAATTGTTATTAATGTTTGATCGAACACCAAATGATACTGTATGTATCATAAATGTTTAATTATGTTAAAAATATTAAGTTTTAATTATTCCAGTCAATAGATATTAAAATATAGAAAAATATCGCACGAATAAGTATTCATCGAACACAGTAATCGTAAGAAATTTTTATATATCATTATACCTATCTGTTACCTGGAATAACTGAAAATTAATTTCTCAAAATAGTTGCATTATTTATTAACAATATTTGTTCAAGCTAGTTCAAATAAAAACAGCTTCTACATTCCTCTTCAAGGATTTCGTGTATATACTTGACGTCTGTCAGCGAAGAATACGTTCCGGTGTATATCGGATAGCGCGCCGAATCGTGAAAAACGTTTGCATAATTAATAATAATAATAACCTTGCCATTTCTATGAGATATGCTGCCCATGGTTACCGAACATTCCCTCCTATTAGCCGAGAAACCAGCAGAGAGAGACGCCAGATCGATTCGAACTTCGTTGAATGGTTTTCAAGTGGTACCGACACGCTCGCAGATATAATGAATCGTATCGTGACTCGTGAATAATTAAGTCCCGTGCTTCCACGGAGATGAATTTTTTTTTTATCTCGACAACAGCAACGTGTTCCGCGTTCGAAACCTCCGCTGTGTCTACGGACAGTCGACGTTCCTACAAGAGACATTTCCCTGCACGAAACACGAGGTCTTGCGAAATTTATGTGTTTGTTACATAACTCTCGATTGCGTTGGATTTCGTTCCATCGAGTTTTCGATCTATCTATATATTTCAGGGAATAAGGAGAATGTTAAGTCAGCTGTATGCCCTAAAGTAGAAAAGTTGGGTCGTAAATGTAAACGTTCGAATGGACCTGGCTTGATGTTTTTTTTTTCCAGGATTACAGGGCTTCTCTGTTCGGAACTTTATCGACATGAATATAAAATCAGTCTTATAAGTATTCGTACCTTCTTTGTGTATTGAAGAAAGTCTAAATTAAATAACAGGTTTGATGTTTCCAAATAAGCAAAATTTGTTGGTTACTAAATATACTTGTACGGCTTATACGCCTCCATAAACATCCCCTAAATACTTGGAATATTGAAGCTCTTAATTTCTACGTTAAGACGTTCCCCAAATCTTGGAAAGTTTTAAATGGAAAATTCATACAATTTTTTCAATCGGTTACTTTATGTCTATAAGTCGGATAAAAATTGATGAAACGATTGAAAATTTGGCAGAATTCTTACTTATTAGTCATATTCGCTCGTATTCATAAATGCATAAAATTATGAAAGTAAAAAGGACAACAACGATTTGTTTCAGCGATGAGACGACGCGCCACCACTATTACCTGCAACTGCGGGACAATGTCGTCAGGCATGGGGGTGGGGTGGAGAGCCTCCATCCTCACCATCCCTTACACGAGCCAACTATCGTCACACATTTGCTCACACTCGCGGGCCTTGCCCTACAAGCCGATCTTGGGGACCACTCCGAAGAACGACACAGGCCACACGCAGGATCTGTGGGATACTGCAAGCCCACGGATTACCTTCCGCCTCACGTAAGTCTCTAGTTCAAGCCAAACGTTAGAAACACCGTAGAATACTAAAAATTAGGCAAATTACCAAATTAGGATTGTCGTTGAAAATTAGCTAGACAGGGTGAAGCATCTTCACAGATCTGTAGAAATGATGGCTAGAAATAAATATAGACATTTGTATTAATTGGATAGTTTGAGAAACGGATGGAAGCAATTAAAATTGGAGTAATTAAAGTTTTGTCTCGAAACAGCTAGAAACCATAAAACCTGACACTCGCCGTATTACTTATTTTTGCATTCTCATCAAAATTTGCGAATTTTATCCAGATTTGTTTCTATTACCCCTTGAAATTAATTGTTGAAATTTCATACCTGTGTCACGTTAACACGAGTGACGTGGCGTTTAAACTGTTAGGAATACTTCACAGTTTAGCAGTAACAGTAGTCCGATCCCTGACTAGAGGTAGTCAATGATCATGGTGTGTTTAGATGTGCCTCGAGTCAAATGTGCTCGCCGTGCTCGCGGCTCAGCATAGGGACAACCGGGGCCTGTCGAGGGAGGAGGCAGAGCTGCAATACATCCGGGAGGCGGTGCTGCTGGAGGCGCCGCTCAACGCTCACCTCTATCGACTCAGACGAAGCAAGAACGAGCCTGGCCCTGGACGCATACTCCTCGCGATATGTGCTCGCGGGGTGCGAGTCTACGCCGAGGAGGAGACACCGCGGGTCTTCGCCTGGAACAACATCGGCAAACTCTGCTTCGACGTTAGTTTCTGCTTTTAATCAATCGATAACATATCCCTCGAAGACGCACAGCGCTGCGATTTATTTACAAATCAATTTTGTTTTGTTTGATTTTATGAAAGAAATGTTGAAATGTTGTTTCGATAATGTTGTGTTAGATTTTTAGAGAGAAATCTCTGAAATTGCTAAAGTTACAACCTTGAAAGCGTTGACACTCGAAAAGTATAATTTTTAATATTACTTTGAGCTTCTTCAAAGGACTTCAGTCTGATTCGATCTCTTCTATGTAGCGCAAGAAGTTCGAGATACGCGCTGTCGATCAGCCGGACAAGCTCACTCTCTACAGCGGATGCGACGACAAAAGCAAGCTTCTTCTGGGACTCTGTCGAGACACCCATCAGTTCTCCATGGCCATAGCACCTCGGGTGAACGAAGCGAAAAGGCGCGAGGAGGAAGGTGAGTCTCATGTTTCTTTTTGAATATATTTATAAAACTATAATTATTTTATAGTGATAATTTATTGATTTTAATAGAAATACCTAGTAATTATTACCTAATAAATACTTTATGTATACAAATAATTTAATAATTTTTCTTGATAATTTAAATACATTATTAAAATATCCATCTATTATTAAAATTAAAGATGTCTAATTAATGTTTTAATCAATTTTTTAAACAAGCAGTATTTCGCTGTACGTATAGTTAATTTTTAATAGATGTTTATGTCTGCTTTTCCACATTTTTTTATTATTCTATTTATAAAATTTAAACTTCCATTATGTTTTGTATTGTGCACATATACTGTTTTATAGACACAATTATATTTATTTTTCGACGACGTAATGTATGCATGTATTCAATGTATATAATATATATGCAATGGTAACATATTATAATAATACAACTATTATTATACAACTATAATTCAATACAAAATGAGTCACGAGGTAGAAAAATCCTTTTCCAAGAAGTAATTTATTTTCTTTCGTGTGATTACAGAAAGGAAGGTTCTCCGCGATTGCTACATGTATCCCGCTCGATGCAAACTGAGTTTGACGGCACGCGGGGCGCGCGGTGACCAACGAATATCTGTTATCTCGAGCACTTCATCCAACACGACTTCTGGAATTGTCAGCGACCGGGTTCACAGCGAGGACGAGCCAGATACGGCGCCCGCTTCGACCGAATGTCTGCCACGACTTACTGAAAATACTTCACATACTGGCGTTCAGTGCACCGTCGTCAACGGGACCAATGCGGACGTCGAGGATCGTTCTATGCCACCGTCGCCGGTCTCCACCGTGGATGGTAAGCTTGCTCGCAATTTCGTACGAATTATGTAAATATTATCTTGTTCTGCCATATTGAATCCACCATTTTGAATTTCTAAATTTTATGTTCAGATTTAGGATCAGTGACTCCCAAAACCCCTATATACCATGTTTCATCTAAATCGAATCACTTTTCGCATTTTGATCTGCCATATGGTATCCGCCATTTTGAATTTTTAAATTTTATGTTCAGATTTAGAATCAGTGACTCCCAAAACCGCTGTATACCATGTTTCATCTAAATCGAATCACTTTTCGCATTTCGATCTACCATACTGGATCCGCCATTTTAAATTTCTAAATTTTATGTTCAGATTTAGAATCAGTGACTCCCAAAACCGCTGTATACCATGTTTCATCTAAATCGAATCACTTTTCGCATTTCGATCTACCATACTGGATCCGCCATTTTGAATTTCTAAATTTTATGTTCAGATTTAGAATCAGTGACTCCCAAAACCCCTATATACCATGTTTCGTCTAAATCGAATCACTTTTCGAATTTCGATCTGCCATACTGGATCCGCCATTTTGAATTTCTAAATTCTGAGTGCTGATGTAGAATCAGCGACCTCAAAAACCTTTGTATACCAAGTTTCATCTAAATCGTTTGACAGGAACTCTAGATATTCAAGGGAAACCCCTGTAAGGGTTCAAAACAAACTGTGTACAGGTAAATGTTGTCATCTTCATCCAGGAAATACTACGTGTTTACGACGTTTACTACTTTACTACGTCAAGCGTACACGTTTCCAGGAATTTATGTAGGTCACGGAATTACTCATTCATTCATAATTGTCTACTATGTATAGCCTATTAAATAGGAAACTTTGAAGTGTCGTAACTCGGCGTGGAATCGTCCGATTTAATTCTAACAAAATTCAAATTAAAGGGCAGAATTTCTGCTACTTATGAGGCAGTTGTTATCATTGTTAGATACTCTTAAACAATCGTTTTTGTTTACTATAAATTATTCAATACTACCCTCATTGTACCACATAACACGGCGTGAGATCGTTCAACTCTATTCTAACGAAATTCAAATTCATATATTTACATTGGTTGATCCTCAAGGAAACTCTGTTCAACTTACATGATACAATTATTAAGAACAATGACCAAGATGTAAATAAACACACTGTTACCCAATAATACCCTACAATATATTCATACTCGTAACCCTTCATATCTTTCACCCTTTTGATGTTGGGGACGCTTAAATCTCTGCATCTCTTAAACTTGTACAGTTACTACAAACAAAATGATAGAATATTACTTTAAAAACAATTGTACGATTTTTAGAAGTCGACGGAGCAGACAGCACACCTACGACGGCTGCTCTGAGGCTGGCGTCGAATACAGCAACGGCCGCCGAGGGATCACAATGTAGCAGCAGCTGCAGCACGGTCGTGGTCGTGAATGCACCTGCTGGTGGACCGCCTCGAATGAGGCGCACTTCGGCAACATCCAGTCTGGAGCTGGGTTATTCGCATACGGCACAGAATTCAGCGGTTTCGTCGGAAACCGCTAGCTTTCCTGGCGCCATTTACGACAGGTGCAAAAAAACTGGAAAATATGCAGGTGAGGTTCGACGAGTTCCCTTTCTTCCTGAAACAGGAACGATTATCACTGAGGTTCTTTTCGGAATATAACCTTTTATCCCATTGTATAATCTGTTAATACTAAGTTTCATATTTTTCTTTATTTTTCTGACTCGGGAACAATTATTAATTGTCATTTACGTTTTTAGTTAATTTTCAATGTTTTTTCTATTGAATAAATTCCAATTGTACAACTGAACAAACTGACTGCGTTATAATATAAATATCCGAGTTTCTGGTTATCTTTTTTATTTCTGTGGTATTGGAAAATATGCAAGTTTATAAGGTACATAAAGAAATTCGAGTAAAATGAAATGTTTCCGAGGAATTATAATTATGTTTTAAAAACTATAAATATTATTATGATCGGATCAATAAATATCTTGGATCACTACGTTGAACTAGAGTCAACTTTAACTCCTAAATTACCGAGATCGACTATAATCTATTATATCAATAAAATTAATTCTCTATTACAATAATTACTAATTGAGTAACTTTGAAAGTAACTTGAAGTTTCAAGTACATAAATCGATCAATAATTGATTACAGTTAACATTTCAAAGCTTTCCACTGTATGCATTTAAACCCGCTAATATTTCATCGTACGTCAAATAAATTCTGAAATCGTATATCTCAACAAACAAGCAAACCAACAACCATTCCCACCAGAAATAAAATGTACTAAAAAATGTCATTTGCAGGTACAGATATTGCGAGCGAGACCAGCGGAGTGTACACTCTAAGAAGCAGCGAAATGCAAGACGAACGAATAGGTGACCTGTACTCACCGACCGGAGACGCGAACGAATCGTCAACGGCGAGCGACGTGTGCGCCTTGAGTTCCGTGCAGTCGACGACCGACGAGGCATCGGTGACATCAGGCTTCTACACCATCCACAGCGGGCTTCGATCCGAAACGAGCGACGTTTACACGGAAGATGTCAGCACGGAGGAGCAGGAGCCCATATACAGCATTTGCAAAGGTGACGACGATGTCGCGAACGTGGTGTCCACGATGACGGCGGTCGCCCTGGACCAGCAGCTCGACGATCCCAGGTCGCGCAGCAACAGCATACTAAGTGCAGGTAGCTTCAGAGGCGACGGTAGCGATCCTTCCAGCGTGGGACCGCTGTTGTCAGCCGACGAACTGTCGGATCTGATCGTGGGACGTTATCCACCTCGGAAGACCATCAGCAACTCCATGGACTCCGACTGTGACTACGTCACCATGCCTCCGCCACCGCCGCCGCCGCGAACGGACAGCGACAGGCAGCTTCCTCCGCCGCCTCCCTATCCATCCAGCATGGATTACGCGACAATCAACTCGTCGCGGTCCAAGATACCGGATATAGAACGAGAGCCACCGCCTCCACCGCCGTACAACGCGACTCGCGGCGAATTCGTACCCCTGCCGCCCAGGAGGACCGATCCACCGCCGCCGCCGCCGCCTTACACGTCGCCACGAGAAAGAATCCAGATACCACCGCCCACGCCTCCTAGAAACGACGCTGTAACCCCTAGGGAACCGCCGCCACCGCCGCCGTACCCCGAGGTCTCGGAGGTCACGCGCCAAGAGGCGATCTCCACTCTCTATCCAACCAACAGCGAAGAGATCGTCTCAAGAGTCACGTCTACGAAGATCCAAACTGGCCTGGCTAACAGCAAGGCGAACATCGGTCTCACGTCGTCCAAGACCATCGCCAGTCAGATCAACGACGTCGCCTTGATCGCGCCGAAACCACCACCCAGGATCCAACCGCCCACTTATCCCGGTGACAAAATGAAACCCACGCCTGTTCACGCTCCTGTCGCGGCCCTCGTCGTCGGACCGAATAATTACTTGGACGTGCACGCCTCGCGAGGCGGTCCTGTTCTGTTGCCTTACTTGACACCACCGCCGCCCCCGCCACCCCCGCCGCCGCCGATGGTTCATCCCAGACAACCACCACCGCCGCCGCCCAGCTTGGCCACCGTTTACACCAGCCAAGTCGCCAGGTCCCAGATCGAACAGTATAAACAACAGCTCTATTCCGACGTCGACTACGTCATGTTCCCTCTGAAGGACCCCGCTGTGTCCAAGCAAGAGTACATAGACGCGAAGCAAGGCTCTCTTCTGGCTGCGATGGCCGCCTACCCTCCACCACCTTATCCTTCCTTCAACAACAAGTCGTTGGTGATGTATCGCAGCACGCCGTACCTACCCGGCTCCTCCTACTCCTCCCCTTCGAAATACGCGTCTAATCAAAACCTTAGTAGCAGCGACACAAGCTCTACTAATTACCTGCCGCACAGCAATCTGAGCAGCCACTACGCTGCTAGCACCAGCTCGCTGTACAGCGGAGCCACTTGCTCGTCGGCAGGGAGTCAAAGCCTCCGACGAGAACCACCGGCACCGGCTCATCCTCACACACTTCACGCGTTCTCGAGGACGAGAAGCGACGAGAACATCTTGAAGTGCTTCGACTCGCCTTCCAGCATCAAGTTACAGTCCCTGCCGCAGCTCAAGCACCGCAGGCTGCCGCCCCCACCGCCGCCGCCTCCTTATGAAATACAGGTACGGTTCGTTGGATTATTAATGTTTAACCATCGTGGGTCGATGTTTTGGTAACTGTTCGTTGCGTGTTACAGTCGGTATAATTAAATTGTAAGGGTGATGGGATTTAGAGAGCGATTAAACCTTACTGTTTCCGCTCTTCAGGGGTCCTACGCGTCTTCTTTGCACTCGGATGTTCCGTGTGAGGGGACATCGTAGGTCTAGCAAATTTTGTTAGTGACACCATTGCAAACATCCTTTATACCTTATGTTTGCAGTGAGGTCATTTATAAATATCATAAACTAAGCTTTGTGTATGTATATCATAATATTATAAAATACTTTTGTTTGTTCTAACAAGTAAACCTTCTGCATTCTACGCATTACATAAAATAGTCTAACTTTGGAAACGTGTCCTCTTTGGTATCGTTAGACTTGATTATAAATTCTAACGATACCAAAAAGGACACGTTTCCAAAGTTAGACTATTTTATGTAATGCGTAGAATGCAGAAGGTTAACTTGTTAGAACAAACAAAAGTATTTTATAATATTATGATATACATACACAAAGCTTGGTTTTTGATATTTATAAATTACCTCTAGTACAGAAGATGATAATAAAATGAAAGGAATTTAGTCAAGTTGACAAAGAATGGAAGAAGTCTATAATAAAGTATATTTTACTGTTTTACTTGTACATAAAACATTAGATTACTACTATTTCAAACGAATATTTTACTTTAATACAATCTGTATAGTGTAATATCACAAAATAATTCATTAGTATTTACAAACAATTTCTGGTATACATATATATATTCTTTATTCCTTAATTCCCAACATGTTGTTTAGATCGATAGTTTCTTCATAAAGTGAAGAAAATCTAGCGTCAAAAATGTTTTAATTAAGTTCGCTCAAACTACGATGATTACAAATTACAATTACAATAAAGAGAACCTTCGATCTAACATTTATAATCTCTATAATATATGAGAAAGTTTCTTTCACGAGTTGCACTCAATTATTTTATATGGTCGTGCACAATTCAGTAATGTAAAATAAAACATAAACTATTGTGCATGTATTACTTATTAATAAAGCGAAAGAAACTTTTCGGACAACGTAATACATCAAACCGATATGATTTCCCTTGAACAATCGCATTATTAATAATCTCTATCTCTTTGTAGAATCTTGAGAAGAACCAACCGCTTCCATCGGCCTCCTCGTCGTCCTCTTCGCCGAAGAAGACGCCCAAGACGAGTGTAACGGAGGAGCACGAAGAAGGAAAGGAAGACGGAATGTTGGACATACGGACGCTTCGCGAGAAGAGTAGAAATTTGGATCTGCCGCTGATATCGGCGCTGTGCAACGACCGATACCTGCTGAAGCAGACGAAGGCGTTCGTAATGCCAAAGCATCCTACCGAGCCGACGTCCTCGACGTCCACGAAGAACGGCACGAGAAGCAGCAACGGTGGCCCTTCCAGCAGGAACAAGTACCCGGTCAGCGGTCTCTCCACCACCCAGATCACGAAACCGCCGAGGAAATCTTCCACGAGTACCCATAAACATCCCGCAGAGATAAAGGGCAACTCTTACAAGATCACCAATTCAACGGTTGTCTCGCCTGCTAAGAAGGATACGACGAGAGCGTCGCATTCGTAACACGGGATTTAGAAAGTGGCGGCCGGTCCTTTGGAAAATTATGGAATTCTATACCTCGAATTAAGTACATTCCGATATGCCCTCAACGATTCCACGCCAAGCACTGTCCTTAAATTAATTAGATAGCGACGAAAGGGAATGGTTCTGACACCATAGTCTGGTTGAAAGAAGAATCGACTTGAGGGATCGCTCGTCCTTACAACCGACAATAAAGTGTCTCTTAATATTTTCTTTTGCTCAAGTAACCGAAGGACAGTTTTTTCTCTCCAAAAGCAGAATAGAAACAATTCCCGTAAGGTTAACTGAAGGAATCGTACAGGATTTTTTGTATCTCTAGGTCCTAGAGTCTAGGGATACAGGTGTTTACCAATTGACCCGAACATTAATTAATTCATAAATATATAAGCGACTCAGAAATAATTGCTAAAATTCATGTAACAGAGGGTCAAGTGTCAAATTAGTGCTGCATCCGTCGAAAATAAGAAAAGTAAGAAAAGTACAAGATCTCCGTCCACCATTTTCTTATTTTTAGTAATCTAATCGTTACATAAAACGACAGACAGCGTGCCTAGCCTTGAGACCTTGGATGCCATAGATTGACGGTAATTTGCAATTAAAATTTGTAGACCAATCATCAAGAAATAGTTCGTGCATCAGGTGAGATAAAAAATACTTTATGTATCCGAGACAAAGAACGGTAGCAGCTCTAGTTCGCGTAACCTAATCCATCAATCAAGACGAATCCTCCTTCGACCCGGCTATAAGTACTTAAACACCGTTGCTCTTTTTTTTTAAGACCGTGCTTCTTCAACTCAGGGTGCCATTTTATCGTTTACAATACTTCTGCTCGTCGCGAATACTCGAAAATGTCCTATGAGAGTAGGTTACGTTTCACCTCGACGACGGATTATTACAACGTATGAATCATTCGTAATGGTAAATTAAGGAGAGCCTAAGGCGTCTATTATATACCTCTCATCTCATTTCATCTTTATTGATCTCTCTGATACTCCTAAAAAATTGTACTCTAACCCCTGCGAAACGAAGCTTTCTTTTCGTGCCTAGAATAGTAGAAACAACCGACAATAAAGTGTCCATTAATATTTTCTTTTGCTCAAGTAAGCGATTAGCGCGATGAAAACGAGAAAAAAAAAATTGAATGCGAATCTTGTGAATCCTAGCGACGAAACCGTAAGTGCTCTTATACATACTTATTCCGTTTAAGAGAGCGACGAGTTTTCTAGGTACTAATTACGTAAATATTTTTATACTCTGAAAGAAGGCAGGTACGATTATTGTAACCAGAGAAACAGTACCTATCGATGTCTCTACGGAAGTAATATTTATTACCATCCAATTTTTTTTTTGTCTTTGTATTGTATTTTAATATCTTTCAATCAGTGCTCGCTTTACGATACTTTCTATCAAAGCGTTTTTAAGCATTCGCGTGTACGTAACTGTAAGGTGTAGTTGTCGATACTGTCGTCTGGTTAATTTCACATGATTTACTAGGGACACGTTAAATGTTAAGCGAAGCCGGTGAGAAAATCGACTGACTCGTCGAGCGAAAATATTTTTCGGGGAACTGCACTGCAGGACGCGCGCTAGAAGATAAACGCGAAAACAGTTAAAGTTGTAAAAGATCCGCGTCAGCGCGGGCCTTTCGTACAATTAATCATAGATCATAGTGTAATGGGTAATAATTTAGACGTAATGTTGACTTATGTTAATTAATACTAGCTATTAATATTGCAACACGAACCATGTCTGTACATAGTATTGCGTGAAATTATAGGATTTGTTGTAGTCGGAAACCTCATGTATGTACCACGCGCCACCTCAGCTACGAATAATAAACTTTTTTTTTTTTATAATGAACATCGTTACGAGGAGCTTTTTCTTCCGCGTAGGGCTGAAGAGATTTAAAACCATCTTTCTGTCGTCTCGTACTGCATAACTCTCGAGAACTATTAGGCCAAAAAGTTCGTACGAATTTTAACGAATAAACAAACAGCGATTTTTCTTAGACGAGGAAATATATTTACTCTGCAACATATTCTCCATTTTGTTCTATGATCTTTCACCGTTATTGGGACAAATGATTCTTCGTTTGTAGAATTGCAAACTTTTGGGCCAACCGAACATCACACAGATTAATTTGAAATCATTCGCTCGTTTATTTATACATTATACCAACACACACAGAGGTCAGAATATCGCAGAACACGGGCAAGTAACGCAATTAATCCCGCACAGATGGCGCTAATTGTTCCTTTCTGCAGTTATGCAATTGTAAGTATAAACATTCGCATGCATTCTCCGGTTACTAGGTCGTTGCCTTGAGACGCAACAAAGGAAATCGTTCGAAATTGATGATTTTTCACTCAATATTTCCAATCGCAAATAACATACACGAGCAACGGGATGGTCAACTCAAACCCACACATTCGGTTTGTTTATTGTAAAGCACGAGATCAGATGGTACTTGTCATGCGAAATAAATAAACATTGCAGTTATTAAATACAAAGAGAATAATTTGTTATGTCAGTTGCTCTCTAGCTCGCAGTTGCTCGTTGACAACTACTGAAATTATCGGTCGGCTCTTTTTGCAGGTCTTCTCTCCAGCTGTGAGCATCAATAGACCGTGCTAATATACCCGGTGTTCGCAATAATACCACGCACGATAAGAATAAAGTAAACGCATTACCTTGATCGATACTGTTACACTGCCGAGAAACGCGTAACGGGGTGTGTATAAACGCGTGTCGTTTGCTCGTTCCTCAGTTGGTTAGACGCTTCTGCGCGGAGTGGTTACGCGGAAACTTAGATGTCGCGTAACATTTGTAAACGATTGGACAACCCTATTCATTGAACACAAACATTATCGCGACTCCAACACGAGTTTGCTGTAAGTATTGTGATAATTTTGATTTCTTCCATGATTATTCCGTGCTTCGACGAGCCCGTTGTTGATTCCAATTTCATTTCGACCAGTTCGAGCACGACGAATCGAACACGATTAGTTAAAAAGAATTTGACAAAGTGTGGAAGACGTAGTCGATCAGTGAGAAACACGTATTTGTGTTGCTTGCTGTCAGAGAGTTAATTATATTAAGAGGTTACAATAACAAGCAAAACGTGCTACTCGCACAATTGTTTCGACATTTCGTAATCGGCCACGCGGAGTGTCGAATGAAAGTATCGTGTCAATGATTTGTTAACCTTTTCAATATCGGAATACACGATCTTTCTAACGTGACTCGTAACCACGAATTCGTGTCATCGCTGTTCGGTGTGTATGGAAAAAACCGGAGATGATTAAAGGTCCTATCTGGATAATTGTTTCGAATAGAAAATAAGTGTTCGTTTCACGGTGAATAGATATAAATTTCTGTGTTCTATCGAGCAGTGATAAATAAATCAGTACACGTGGCTTTTATTGGTCATTCGTTATTCGTATAGAATTTGGACCATATTGAAATATTACTAGGTAACTAGAGATCGGAGTGAAAATTCCTACAACTCTCTACCACCGAAACGAGCCTTAATCACTCTAAAATGGGATCAATAGTTAATGAATCGCAGCAAGAATCATTGACGATAGTATTACGTGAAATTCAAGTCTATTTATTGACTTCGCTTCACGTTTCTAGTAGTTCTATATTTATAATCGTACGAATGCCTACATTACCAACAAGTAAAAGCTTTCATGGGTGAAAATACAACGATCCCATGATATTTTCTATTTCCATATTCAACTTTATGTGAATTCTATTCTATTCTTAGTGAATTTGGTGGAGTATTAATATTATTTATATCAATTTTAATCCTTATAAAATTAGTACGTGTCTATTTTATCCATTAAATAAAATTATATATTGAATATAAGGTAGCTAACAATTATTCGTGAAATGAAAATAAATGATTGTTCATTTCGTTCGTAGATTTGCGACATTAAAATAATAGGTAAATAATCGATATGACGCTGCGCACATGGCTTAATAAGCTGATAGCCAAGGTTTCCATTTTCCGAGTTTTTATTTATCTTTTTTGGCAGAAAGGGGTAACTTTATCTTGATTTTACGAGTATTTATATGAAAACAAAGTATGTAGTTTATATGGACTTATTCAAATATATGTAAATGGATTTAGATGTATTTAAATTTAAATAAATTATCGATATCGTCGACATATCATGTATAATTTGCATAGAAATTTATTTTAGTTTCTAAAGATGACAACAAATTTGATGTTAAAATGACTGTTAGCCCGATGAAAATTCGAACATGAGTTTGTTCTCAATTATAAACAATAGCTTTGAAGAAGCAAATTTATTATTTAAATTTAAATCTAATCTATTAAATTTTAATCTATTTAATCGTTACTTCAAATATAAGCGAATGAAAACTTTTGCATTTGTTGATTCATTTAGGCGATACAGGAAATTTCTGTTACTAAGAAACTGTGAGTTTACAATGCGTCATATATCATCTGATTCGTTGTGTCGTTTAGTATAAATAGTAGAGGATTTTCATCCTGTTTTAACGAATCACTCAATGAAAAACTATTTGATAAATTATTTATCGAAATTCCATTGAATTCCTTATACTGCCAGTCGTGAGTGGCGAAACCAAGAAGGAGACGATAAGGCCAATCGCCTCCTTCATATCAAGAGTTGCGAAGTCTTTAACAAATGCATTGATTATTTATTTTACACATTTAAAATACATACGTAATTAATGTGACCTTGATTATTGAGTTAATTATCGTTACATACAATCATTATTATTTATAAATTTATATATTGAATTCATACCGTGACAAACGTACTTAGCATTCCATTTCTACTTTTTGATTCATTACGTATTATATTAATATTAAATTAGAATCAAATGAAGAACAGGAACAGTGTAACAAGTAACTGTTTAACTCTATTAAATATTAAACGTTTCCATTGTCACTGTTAAATCTTTTCCATTAACAATCAATTGAATTAAGTAATTCTAAACAAGTGTACTATTAAATGTATAACGCATTTTTTTAAAAATTACTCGACCTAATTCAGTTGTTACCAAAAAGGATTAAAAAATGAGGATCGAGACGATTAACAAAGTTAAACAACAGTTTCATTTATGCGATTTTTAGCAAACCATACAAATTTTATCATCAGTCTCGATCCAAAAACGTCTGCAGAAAGATTGTATAATACAAAATGTAGAAAAGAGTACAGTTTGAAGATTGATATCTAACCATTCGCTTGCAGTTTGCAAACACGTGTCTGTTTGCTGTGTAGTCGACCAAGCATCGGTAGCATGTTGACACGTGCTTATTTAGACATTTGTTTGCAGAAGTACGTTGACTTGGACGCTATTCGAAACGAATCGTTCTATACGTTATAAATCTGTCCTGTAATAAACCCTGATAAAATCTAACACAGAACAAAAATATATCCATTGGTAACATTGTAAATACTGACACAAGTATTGTCTGCTGCGATACAGAGCGAAGCACTGAACAGATTATAACGCGGTACTTTAAACCAGCCGTTCTCAAACTTTTCGAGAACATTTTTATATTTTGAATTCCTGAAAATTAATAAAAGCCTCTAGATGGTTATTTAAGTGGCAAAAAATTGGGTTCCCTCCATTTCACATTATAATTTAACTTGATCAACTTAAATATAATGAAATTACTATAAAAGTATAAGTCTATATGTTCCTTGCCATATTTAAAAAAAGGAACGTAACCATTGTGATAAATACATTAGAAGTTATGTTTGCCATATTTAAAATTTAAATGTAACTTGACAAATTTAAACAGAATTATTTTGCAAGTATAAGTCTATATGTTGCTTATTATTATAATCAGTAAATTTATTCAAAGCTTATGTTTCTCCCATTTAAAATTTTAATTCAACCTAATAAACATAAATAATAATAAAAGTACAAGTATATATATATATATATATATATATATATATATATATATATCTCTTATCGTACTGAAATGAAACGATTATTCTAATAAATATATTAGGAATATAAGTTCAATCAGAATTCGTGTTCCCCAATGTATATTCTTATCTTGCTCTAGCATACGTTTCGTGATTACTCGTTTCACTATTTTACACGTTTGACATTGTATCAATTCTTCTCTTCAGACTAATTGAAATTAATGTGTTGGTCTAAGCGTGTATCGCGAGAAATGCGTCTTCCATGCCGTGACAGCACTATTGTCGAATCAAATCCATCAGGACATAAATGAAACTGCGTGCTTACAGTGCCCTTCTAGAGATGGTAGTGACCAGTCATATAACAAATATCCCAGTGTAAAACTGTTAGATAGGGTGTGGTTGTTAGATTCTACTTAATCTGTCTACTAATTTTACACTACCTAAAACTGTGAGTACCCATGATTTCGTATTAATTTATTTATTTATTTAATGAAACAAAAGGATTTATTAAGAAAAATATTAGTACCGTTGTATTAATCACTGTTGTATTATTAGAAAAAATTTTCGATTTGTTTTTCATACTAATATATATTGCTGTGTGTATTGTATACATGTATATATATTTGTATACATTGTTACAGATAATTGTTTAGAATATCTCGCAAACTCATAATTTTTTTTACCACTTCAATACTGTTTTACGAAAGGATTCAATCTATGCATTTCCATTTTAAAAAATGTCCCATGGACGTAGTACTCTTTGAACCAATCATCTTCCTCTAACATTTTCCTCTAAATGTACTGATAACGAAGTTTGTCGCGCTGCAGACACTGATAAAGTGAATCTCGCCGTGCTTAATGGAATTTTACCATTCCAAATTTGATTTATGCGCGCGACACGTCTGCATAATATTAAATCTC